GGCCATGGCTCATGGGCCCAGCCGCTCCGCGGCATGTGGGATCTTCCCGGACTGGGGCACAAACCTGTGTCCCCTGCATCGGCAGGCGGACTCTCAACCATGGCGCCACCAGGGAAGCCCTACAATATTTACTATTGCAAACAATCTGTGTATAAATAGACCTGCACAGGTTTAACTGAACCTTGAACCTTCGTTGTTCAAGGGTCAACTGTATAGTTTGACTTACTGGCCTAGCTTTCCTTTGATCACAGTTATTTCATCTAAACTCTATAAACTGGTCATCATTACCTTTTTCTTGAAGCAAGATTATCCATAATCAAGCCTCTTGAAGGTTTTAAAAGGATAACATGAATTTGCAGTATTTTAGGCCTAAAGCCAATAATAATGGCACCATTTTAATTCAGAATAGTTCCTAAAACCCATTTGCTGATGGCTTTCAAAACCTAAATATAGAGAATAGAATGTTTCTAATTTTAAAAGTCAGTCAATTTATTTTTGACTTTTTAAATTAGGAAATATTTTAAGAATACAAAAAAAATAACAGACACCTATATTCCCAAAGCTCAATATGGTCAAATCTTAACATTTTGCTGTATTTGATTTGTGTTTTTTCTAAAGAAATAAAACATCACGAATGAAACTCAAAATATATATATATATATATATATATATATGACATATCTAAACCATTTAGCATAGTACCTGGCATATGCAAAGCAGTCAGTAATTGTCAACAAATTTTTAAAACGTTTTACTTTGAACTAATTTTAGATTTACAGAAGAGTTATAAAGATAGCAGAGACATTTCTTAGACGCTCTTCACCCAGCTTCCTTTAATGTTAACTTCTTATATAACCATGGTCCATTTATCAAAGACATTAAAATTGGTGTAACACTATTAACTAAACCACAGAATTTTTTCAGATTTCACCAGTTTTTCTGCTTAAGTCTTTTGCTGTGCTCAAATCCAATCCGGGGTACCATGTTGCATTTAGGTCAGCTAATTTTTAATCATTCATTCATTCAATTCACTGAGAGTGCTGCCAGCCTTTAGTCCAAGACTGGGAGTTCCTGTGCAGCAGGTGATGCCAGGGGCCCCCGTACTACGTACCATGACAATAGTCAGAGCTCTCATTTTTGAGAGCTTGCCACATGTTGTACAACACATTTTCTATGTGCCCCACTTTATCCTTACAACAATCCTGTATGTTGGCTATTATTACTCCCATGTTACAGATGGGGGAAACTGAGGTATGGAGAGGTTAACTGAGTTTACACACCTGGTAAGGGGCAGAGGTAGAAGTTGAACCTAGGCAATCTGGCTCCAAATTCACAGTCTTAACAATACCTCACTCCTTTCACGAGGCTGCTCTATAGAACAGGAAGAGTAGATGCACCATCGCAGACTTCCTGGGCCAAGTGTGGCAGGCAGGAAGGGTTCCCGGTGGAGGTGTCAGTCTGGAGCTCAACCTCTGTTTCCTTGTGTGCTCTGGGGAATGTGTGGCTTTCCCTGCCTCTTCTCCCCATAGCCCCAGAATCTGAGCCCAACCCTCGGAGCCCGAAGAAGGTAACCTGCTGAAACTCAAGCCGCAGGCCCAGGGTGTGGCTCTGTCCCAGGTTCAGGGCACTCTACCCCAGCCAGCAAAGGCAGGCTGCCCACAGTCATAGACCCGGATGTTGATTTAGATACTGGCTTCTGGAGCCACTATTTTGGATCCTGCTGACCATGCATAAGCAAGAGATAGCAACAAGGGCTGAGTTGTCAGGCTGAGTGGGGGGACCCAAGGGAATTGGGGGTGCGCAGACTACTGACGGGACTAGTTTTGTCTGCTCTGGAAAATTATAGGCCCCACCAACCTGAGGATGAACTGAGAAGTTTTCCATCCTGCCTGGTTGGGCACAGCAGCACCAGCCCTCCTGCCAAACTCCAGCTAGGACATGTGTTTACCCTTTGGAAAAGGCCCAGAGAGCACCTTAGGTAGCCAACAGCCAGCTGGGATTAGGACCAAGCACTGCAGGCAGCAGAGCAGGGGATCTGCTGGGCAGTACCTGCCCTTTGAGGCCAGAGCCTGGAGATCCTGGATCCAGGAGGCAACATCCAGCCTCATTTTAGCTTCTCTGAGCATCAGTTTGTTCATCTGTAAAATGGGGATATTAATCCCTGTGGCCCAGAGAGGGCTGTCTACATTTGTGCAGTTTATAAATTGAAGGAGGAGTAAATGGGGCCTAAAACCCAGCCTGTGCTCAGCTCACTGAGTTGGGCACCATAACTTGGAACTACGTCTACTTGGGAGGAAGGGACACCTTTTTCTTGACCAAACTGTTTGCCCAGGAGTGCTCCTGCCTAAAAGGCTGGTTTGGTCAGAGGGTGCCCCTTTTTGGATTTGCACAAAGGAAAAGCACTTGCCCTCTGGAAATAGAGCAGATGGTGGAGAAGGGCAAAGGGCCCTTAAGTTCCCAGGAGAAGGCAGGGCTGTTCCCCGAGAGCCTTGGCAGGGGAGCAAAGAGGGAAGTCAAAGGTGGCCCAAGGGGACAAGATGAGCTGGGAAGAGGGTGTCAGGGTGACCAAATGGTGAGATGCTGTGTGCACGTGGAGCTGGGGGGAGAGGAGGTGCCTTCCGGAGGCTGGCCCAGTCCCAGGGGCAAGTCCACTCCCCCTGGTGGCCCCTGTAGAGAGGGCCCAGTAACACGGAACTCTACCTGATGGCAGGGTCATAGCCAGAGAGTGCGGGAGTCATGGGGACCTTGAGCCCAGGGAAAGCCTGGTGAGAGACAGCCAGCTGGAAGAGAATGACAAGGCACCAGGCAATCATAGTTCAGTGTGACAGGTGGTCCCACAAGGGGTGGATGGACATTTTGGTAGCATGAGGAAAAATACTCCACTCAGGTTTGCTGGGTCCAGGGGCATCCCCAGAAGTGACACCTAAACTGAGACCTCAAAGAGACCCCAACAAAAATGAGTGAGGATGTGCATTCAGGTGCTGCAACCTGAAGCATGTGCAAAGCACCAAGAGGTAAGCAGGTGGTACATTCTGGAAACTGCAAGTGTATTTAGCATTTCTTAATTACATGGCATGTATGGGAACAGAATTAGAAGAGAGATGTCTGGAGACATGAGACGGTCTCAGAAAATGAAGAATCTTTATGCTTTGTCAAGGTGTTTGTCCTTCAGGGGTTGTAAGTGTTGGGGTGATGTGATGCGATTTTCCTTTTAGTAAGCTGTCTGGGGCCCGCATGGAGATTGGAGGGGGCAAGGCTAGAAGCAGAGAGACCATCAGGGGCCTGAGCAAGAATCCAGGTGAGAGGTAAGGTGGCTTGAACTTGGGTAGTCAGCAAAGATGAAGCTAAGTGAGCAGGTCTGAGCCCTGTTTAAGAGGTAGAGTTGGTAGGCCAATTGGAAGAGTGGCAGAAGTCCACCACTGACTTGGATGACAAGGCCTATCAGAGCCCTTCACTAAAATGGGAACTAGGAAAAGGAGTGGGTCTGGGTGGGAGGTGATGAAAAGTTCAGTTTGAAGCTCAGGTTCAATATTCAAATGAAGGTGGCCAGTAGGATACAGAGGTTCTGAACTCAGAAGAGAGAATTGGGCTGCCGTAGGGGTCTGAGAGTCATCAGCCTAGAGATGTGAACTGAGGCTGTGGGGACAAGAGGACCCCCAGGAGAGTGAGAACACTGAAGGAGAGAGGAGGCAGAGGCCAGCGTCCTCGGACACCTTGATGTTTAAAGGTCAGCTGGAGGAGGCCAGGGCTGCATGGAAACAGCCAGAGAGGGAGGAGGAATGCCAGCCCATCTAATCCTCATAAATACCTCACGTACAGGTGAGGAACCTATGGGCTTTTTACATTGTTTTATTTTATTAGGGTACAAACAGTAAGAAACTCACAGCCAAATGTTGCCCCATCATATAACCGTCCCTCACCAGGAATTCTGGCATGTCTCCTCCCAAACCCCTGTGCTCTAGTTTAATGATTCTGTTAGGTTTCTGTGACTTTAGTCAGTCCTTTTTGAAAGAAGAACGAAAGTGAAAAAACTGACCGGATTCAGGAGATGCTGTTTGTGCACAGCGAGTTTTGATAGTCGGTGATTGATACAGGGTGGGCATGGAAAGGATGGTGATGCATTGAACTTTGGTCTTTACTCAGACAGTTGACTCAGACTCCACCTCTAGGCTGCCATCATGGGCTGGCAAGCCTTCTGGAGCCTCGTGACCACTGCCCCACAAACCACCAGAAGGTCTCCTGTCTTTATTATGATGAACCTTTTATTATAGAGACAGACTGAACTCTTTTCTGCATAAAGAATCTTTGGATTGGGTCAGGGAGATCCACCTGCTAAAGGTCACCACCCAGCTCTCCCTGCCTCTGCCTCAGCTAAGCCCCCACTTGCTATTTACATCTCAAGGTGACTGGAAGCAAGGTCCCCAGGGTCAGGCTGGTTGGGTGGGCCATGCTGGCTGGAGGGTCAGGGTTCCTGGTTGCCCACCAGGTCACAGCCGCCCCGTCTCCTGCCCCAGTCGGTTGTCCAGAACCTGGAGCTGCCGGAGGAAGCCTGAGTTGGGGCAGATATCCCGGTGCGCCTGCACTGTCTGGATGGCCTCCACCAGCGTCATGTTCTCGCAGATCATGAGGAAGGCCAGGACAACCGTGGCAGAGCGGCTCACCCCCATGGCACAGTGTACCAGCACGCGGCCTGCGGGGAGACCCAACCTAGCATCAGCTACCTGTTCTCACACCGCTTGCCCCTTAGGGAATCAGGGATGCTTCTGCCCACCTATCACAGCATCCTGGAGTACTGACACTGTCCTCATTGTCATATGGGGCAACTGAGGCCCAGAGAGGAAAGGGACTCGCTCAAGGTCACAAAGCAAGTTAGTGGCAGGGCGAAGGTTAGCAGCGGGACTCCCTTCTCCTGGTGCAAGGTGCCTCCTCTGGCATCCCTTGCCACTCTAGCACGGTGGGGAGTCAGTACTCCTGGAGTCCCCTGGGTTTGCAGGGGGTGTCCACCTCCCTCCCTTTCCCCCCAGTTCTGCCCTCTCCCCAGCCCCTGCAGCTCTACACTGAGGCCTCATCTTAGCAAACGCTCTTGAGCAGTTTTCTCTAGGTCCTGTACCTTTTGTCCAACACCTGGCCTCTTACCAAGTGACGACCACACTGGACCTTAGTTATATCTATGATTGTTGGTTTCCAGGGTGTCCCTGAAGGGGATGCTCACTAAATGGTAGTAGTGAGCCCCATGAGGTGGGAGGTTGCTGAAGGACCCCACCATCCATGCTCCTGGAAAAGTAGATAGCCCCAGACCCTGCCTGCACCCCACCTCCACCCCAGTGCCTTCCCCAGCAGCTGACCTTGGGGAATGATGAGGGCACTTTGGATGTATCGAGCAACGGGCAGAAAGTAGACACTGAGGTCGAAGAAGGGGTTGTCATCAGCCTCAATGCCATAGTACTCCAAGGGCATTCCACGGTAGAAGTTGGCACCTGTGTCCACCTGAAACTTTCCTGCGGCAACATTCACGATGTGGGTGATGCCCAGCTGGGTCAGCTTGTTCTTGTCCCGGGCTGCGTACCTGGGGGGGAGGGGCACGGGGGGAGTTGGGAGGTGGGGTAGAGCTCACTGGGTCAGCTCTGGCTGGCCTGGAACTTGCCCCCTTGCCTCCTCTGCCATCCTCCTCCAAGGGTAGACTGGAACCAGTGAACTGGCTTGGGTGAAGGGGCTCCTCTAGTAGGAGTTCAAGACTCCCTTTCACTCAGCCCAACTTTTCTGGAAGGCAGGTCGGCCACATGGCATCAGAAGCCTCGAAAATGTACACTTACTTTGCCCCAGCAGGTCTCCTAGGAACTTAAAGAATCCCAAATGTGCTCACAGACAAATGTAAACTGGATCTAATGTTTAAGATAGAGAAAAAGTGGGGAAAAAATCACTAAATAGCCTGTAAAAGAAGATTGACTATGGTATAGCTAAATCTGCCACACTAAAATGTGGTAGATAGATGCTGGTGAACCAAGAAAGGCGTTGGTGCTATATTGAGAAAAACGGAGGATAACAAAACAGAACATTGTTTTAAAGTGTTTTAAAAGTATGCTGTGCAATTCCATTTAAAAAGTTTTCTATATAAAGCAGATTACAAGATGGGATTATAAAGCGATACCATTTTTGTATGCATTTTTAAAAAGTCAACAAGGATTTTATTACTGGTTATCTGTGTGTGTAGGGGGGATACATATTTGCCCTATTGTTAATAGGATATTGATCTATATTTTCTAAATATTAAGGAAAACATAAAATCCACATATATTCATCCATATGTTCTAAATTTTAAGAAAACTTTTGGGGAAAATGACTCACATTCCACTCTATATATACATCCTAGAGAAACGTGTGTGTTCCCAAGGCACATGTACTAGCTTCTAGAATCACCGTTTATAATAGCCCCAAAGTGGAAACAACTCAAATAGAATAAATAAACTATGGTGTATTCATACAAACGAATAATATATAGCAACCAAAAATGAATGAACTATAGCTACACGTAATGTCGGCGAATCTCGCAATTTTGAGCAAATGACGCCAGGCACAAAATACACGATATGATTCTATTCCTATCACTTTAAAACATAGGCAAAACTAACACAAATGGCGAAACTAAAAGGAAAAGCAAGGAAATTATTGTTTCAATACTCAATGATTATCTACAGGGAAAAGGGTTATGATGAGAAGGGTTCCACAGGGGCTTCTGAGGCACAACTAATGTCCTATTTCTTGACCTGGGGGGTGAAACTGTTCGTTTATGCTCTGTGTACTTTTCTTAGGTGTGTTCTATTTCCACAAAGTAATAATAGTGTAAAAGGAAATAAACATGTGGAAAGAGATGGTTGGAGGCAAAGAGGGTGCCAACTCTGCCCCTTGGCTCTGGAAGAGGCTCCCCTTCTGTTCTCCCCAACACCCACTGTGGATCGTACTTACGCATCTCCCAGGAAGAGGTTGGGCCAGACTTCGTTAATGTGGCTCAGCACGGCAGCCCGACGGACCCACAGCAAGCGTTGCAGTGAGGCCAGCGTGGGTGGCTGATAGGGGGGCACCCGGACTGCCCCGTGGATCTTGGGCCTCCGGAGGTCCTGTTTCTGCAGCGAGTCCATCCTGGAACAGAGTGGAAACTGTGGTGGCGAGGGGCAGGCTCCCCGCAGGTGGGTCCAGCTGACAGGGAGGCCCAGGCATGGTGCAGTGCCCAGGTGCCACTAGGATGCTTCAGAAGGGCCTCAGTTATTTCACATGAGGTTATTAACCAGCTCAGCTGGGGCTGAGGCCTTTCCCCAGGGAACAAGGGAATCAACCCCTCGTCACCGCTGTGGAGCTGGGAAGCCCTCTCTCCTGCCCTCTCCAGAGGCCCCTGATGTTGGAAGCTTTTTTCAAGGGGTTCTTGGAGTTCCCTGTTTGTAACAACTAGTCAGTGCAGACCCCACCCCTTAAGTCTGTGGTTACTTGGGACTTCGTAGGGGTGGGGACTCCAGATGGCTGTGGCCCTCAGAGGGCACCTAGGAAGACCCCTGCCAACTGGGCAGCTCATCTCAAGCCCCCTTCTCCGCTACTTCCACGGCTGGTCCTCAGACTCCCATCCCTGTAACAGGTGCTTGAAGGTCAGAGCCCATCTCTGGAGGGAGGAGCCTGGGCTATGAACTGACATTTGTTAACACTTCCGTACTGAATGAGCTAATGCCTCTTAGGGGCCTGGTACCTCATGCGTGGTAGGTCCCTATCATACATAGGAGGAAGCTGAAGCAGGAATGTGAAGGTCACAGAGAATAATTTTTAAGTAATGCTCAGTCTTACGGCTGTTAAGGAGCAAGGCCGGGGTTTCAGTCCAGTTCTGTTTTCCTTCAGTTCCGTCCCCAAGCGTTCGAGTTACCACCTTCAGGGACTCCAGAGAATGGTCGCTAACTCATCTGTCTCTACAGGGGAGCCTAGTGCAGCTGTTCCATATCTGCCTATAGGCCCTGGGATTTCCTTCCTTACCCGCATGACTCAGGCCAGTGCTGCAGGTCAGGCCTCACCCAGGTGGGGTGGCTTGTGTCAGGAGTCAGCTGGCTGAGGGGGTCCGAGACCCTGCAGAGCTGGAATGTCAGTGGCACCAGAACCTGGGTCTGGTGCTGGGCTTGGAAGGAGTGCCTCTCTTGGCTAACTGTCCCTGGTCCCCTCAGCCAGTAACTAGGGAAGGTACAAACTGGGAAGAACTTCTTTGCTCTTTGGTAGGCAGTGCCAGGGCCAGGAAGAGAAACAGGAACCCGGAAGGCCACCGGTTTGGCCAAGCTCACCCAGTGAGCAGTGGGAGGGCAGGGCGGAAGCGAAGGCCCGGCTTTCCCTTCCATCCCCCACTGTGACCTCTCAGGGCAGGCTGAACTGCCTGCCACCTACCTAGGGCATGGTCTGGGCCTGGGAGTCGGGGTGTGGGTGCAGGGACAGGACTCAGCACAAGAGCGGAACGGGGCCGGGGCAGGTTCCGCCCGGAACACAAACGCTATGAAGCAGCTAGAATTCCAGGTCCTCCCCTTGGAGCCCATGGGGGTGGGGCCTGAGAGCAGACCTAGGCCACTGCTGACTGAAGTGCAGACCTTCCAAACGCCTGGACCCCTCTCTGCTTGGTGTCTCTTTGCGATTAAAGGCTCTTGGCCCTGGGACTCCCCATGGAGATGGGAGGCTATGTGAACTGGTGGGAAGAGAACTTTAGAGGGAGCGGGGAGAGCCTGGCCACAGCTAATTCCGAGGTCAAGAGCAAGTCTTTGCTCCTGTCTGGGCCGCGGTTTCTCTTTCTCAACTTAAAGATGCTGGCCTTGCTTGACTTTAAGGAATCTCTGGAGGGTCTGACCTGAGAATGAGAGAGGAGAGCCTGGGTTTGCAAAAACTACAGGGTACAGCACAGTGTATTGTGTTGGAGTGGGGAGAGTCCAACAGCCACACTGGGCTGGAGCTACCAGCTGGGCCTGCAGGAGCCCCAGGTCGGTTGCGTTGGGGCTTTGGGAAGTCTGGCAGGCGCCGCTGCAGGCCTCTGAGCTTGGTGTGGGGTAAGGCTGCCACCCAGTGGCCAATTGGTGCCTTGCAGCCCCGCGGTGCCTGGGCGCGGATAGCCAGGCTCCAGCTGAGACAGAACTTGTCCCTACTCCTCCTGGAGGCTCCTGGGAGGAGAAGGAGCCAGTAGAGGGATCAGGGATGAGGGCTGGCCCCTCTACTGGCTCAGCCTCTTCTACTGGCTCACGCCTCAGCCTCTTCGGGGCTTAGGCCCAGGTCTGGAGAAGGGGGCTTTTTCCTCGGACTTAGGGGTACCCCTTGCTAGGCCTCACGTTGGACCTCACACCTGATGCTCATGGATGTACCCCCTACCTGTCTGCTCTGTCCCACAAGGGTCCAGCCCACCTTTTCAGCCAAGGTCAGGTCTAGCCCCCACCCAGCGACTCATCCTTCAAGCTCCGGGCACACCCAAAGAAGGGGAGTTGGTGGCTGCAGCAGCCCCCTGGTTTCTGCCATCCCCAGACCTAGATGCCGAGTGCCCCGCCTGACACCTCCTTCCGCATCTCCTCAGCCACCGCAGGGTGAAGCCTGGGTCCAACATCCAGCAGGGACAGGGCCGGCCTGACTCTTCTCCCCCTTCCCTCTGGTACTCCTCCTGCGACCTTCCTGTGTCTCCTCCCTAAGCTGAGCAGCTGCCTCTGTGGGCAACGGTTTTCCTGAGTCGCTGCTGTTTACAAGTTCAGACACCTGTGTTCTGCCTTTGTTGGTGCCTCTCTGTGTCGCGCTCCCCGGTTGCCTCTGTTTCCCTGCCTCTCACAGGAGCTTGTGCTCCTCCAGCAGCCTCCCAACACACCACCCAGCATGCCGGTAGCCTCAGGCCAAGGCCCAGGCCTCCGCAGGGCAGGGGGCCTCTGCCATCCACCTCCTCCCTGAAGCTCCAGACGTGCTCCCCTGGTCCTCCCTCCTGTTCACTCTCCCTGCTTTCTCCTCCTCCCCCCAAGGTAGACCACAGGGACTGTGGCCACAGGACAGCTAGGGCTGGACATCTCAGGGCAGGACAAGTGAGGAGTCTGGTGAAGGAAGCCTTGGGGAGGGTGGCCGGCGGGTGGCCTGTGGTGAGCTGCCTGGGGCTCTGCACTCTGTGTGCAGGCCTTGGAGGAGGGCGGACCTGAGCCGAGTTCTCAAGTCTGGAGCTTGTTTCTGTGTAGTCTTCTCTGAGCTAGTTTTCTCAGTGGGGCTGCTGTGAGAATTCCATGAGATAAGAAATGTTCAAGGCACCTCCCACGGGGTCTTCCTCCTGGTAGATGCCCCATAAATGGTGCATCTTCCTATTATTATCATCACCATTATTACTCTTTCCCTTTTAAGACTCAGCCATATCCCATGGGCTAATGAGGCTTGGTCTCTAACTCTTTGTATTTCTTGATTTTTCTTTCTCTGTCCAGCAATAATTATTGTATTCACCACTAACTAAGGACGTACTGTGTATCAGAGCTAAATGCTTACACTTTTTTCACTGAATCCGCACAGTACCCTTATGAGGCAGATGATATTATCATCTCCTATGCCGTAGGTCACACAGCCAATAGGCGTGGGAGCCAGGATTCAAGCCCAGGTCATTCTGACTACTCTGCTTTGTCTGTGCCTCTATCTCTGACCCAGTTCCTCCCCAGATCTAACCCACCCCCCCACCACACACACACACACACACACACACACACACACACACACAGGCACAGGTGTCCTGGCCCTCATTACCCAGCATGCTCTGCAGCCCCCCTGAAATAGGGGCACTCACCCACCTGTGGGGGTATCTGGCCCAGGCTGAGGTCTTCTCTGACGGACACTTTTTGCTCCCGGCTTCCAGCCGCCTGTCTCTGCACGCTTGATGCTGTTTCTATTTTTTGATCGGAGTTTAATTATAAAGCATGATGTGCTGCTCCCCTCCTCTGGCCTCCCCCTGCCACTCCCAACTCACCCACTGGTCCCCTGGCATGGTCAGTGCCAAGCCCAGCCAGGCACCTGGCCCTGCTGGGAGTAGAGGCAGTCTGGCAGGGGTCTGCCTGTGGTATGTGTGGATGTGGATGTTGCTTGTGAGGCAGGAAGAAGGAAGACTGAATAAGCCATTTTGAAAGGTCGGTTGGCCTTCAAGGGTGATGTGGAGCGTGGGCAGAAAGTTAAAGCTACAGGGATCTTCCATGGAGGGGGACAGGGAAGAGAACAGCCAGATCACACCCACACTGGCCGCACTGCCAACATCACAAGCCAGGTCCAGGGGCCCTTGGTTGGGAGCCGGGGATTACAGGACTGGCCCAGCATAAAGATCCAGAAGACTCAGGCTGAGGGAAGTGGGGTCAGACAGAGATATAAGTGGAGTTCAGAGCAGGTCTTTGGAGCAGGCCCGGCCTTCAGTCAGAAGCTGTGTGTCCGCAAACCACTCTGCCCTCTGCCAAGCTCCTCCCTCCCCCAGAAGACATTCCTGCACAGGCCTCACTGCTCCTCGAGGTCAGTGAGATGGTCTTTAAACTCCCTTCCAAGGCTAACGGCTCAGTGAGGGATCTTGGATTTGGGCCTATTAAGAACACTCCCTGCTCTCCAGAGACTCTCTTCATATACCCATACTTTAATACCCTTCCCCACTCATACTCCCAGATGACTGACACACACACAGACGTATGCATACCCGTAGCCACGCCTCCACGGGGTCTCTGAAGCCCGAGCTCCAGGGAGCTAGGGCTCAGCCCCTGCTGGGGCTCCCTGAGCCCTGGGGAGAGCTGGTGGAGACGGCCATGGCCAGGGGCCATCATAAATGCTTAGAATCCCCCCTCCCGTGTCCCCCCACTCCTGAGGGGGACAGGGAAGAGAACAGCCAGATCACACGCCCGAGGGGCCTCAACCAGGAGCCCCTTCCCACCTGTGAGAACTGGAGACAGTGGCTGAGAGGGGGTGCAGGCAGCAGGAGGAAGCGCATGGAGTTGCAGGCTCTAGGGCAGACCCCACACTGGTCTCTTACCATCTTCTGGGTACCCACCTGGGCCAGAGCCTCCAGCAGCACCAGCAGGGCCAGCACCAGGGTGGCAAAGTGGCAGAGCCCTGTGGCAGGGAGTAAGGACCAGTTCTGGGGGAGAGATGAGCTCCATGTTACAGGCAGGTAAACCATGGTTCAGATTGTCCGGGACTCATCAGGGCAGGAACAAGAGCTGTCAGATAAGCCTGCTTCTGCCTTGAGCCTCTGTGTAAGGTCAAGTGGGTACGGGTGCTGAGAGAGATGAGGCAAGTTCGGGGCCCAGGGCTCATGGAGGGAGATGACCTCCCCAAAGCCCCCTCATCTCTCAGAGTCCCCAGCCCCAGGGCTGCTGTGTACAGTCACACAGGTTGCTCACTGCACAACTCCTGGGGCTCCAGCTGTTGGATGCACTCCCAGTAACTGTGCAATGCTGTAGTCCAAATGATTCTCCCAAAGCTAGCTGCCCGAAGGGAGAGATGCTGAGGGCTGAGGTCAGAGTATTTTAGGGCCCCAGGCTGCGGAAGTGGGATGATTGGGCATGATCAGAGATTTGCTGTTCTCCCAGGTTCCCAAACCTTGTTTAGAGGAAAGAGAGCAGGATGGGAACATGCCATTCCTGTCCGCCTCTTGGCTCCCACACCTGCAGAACTCCCCACGACAGTTTCCCGCCCAGCTTCACCCCAGGCCTAATCCCAACGCCAGCTACAACCCTCATTTTCTTCCTTTACACTCAGCCCCAAACTCTAAACCTCGCTCTCCATCCTGCCCTAATCCCTGACCCCAAGATGCTCATCGTCCTGACAGCATGTGGGAAGGGGTCGATATTGCTCAAATGCTCCCCTTGGTTGGGCTGGCTGTGCATTCAGAGACAAAACCACCTCTTATGTGTGGGGGCAGGGGGAGATTCAGTCCATGCCCCAGGGAAGGTCTTGGCAGGAGGAGGAAGCTGCTGCTCTTCAAACTCCCAGGAGAGCCTAGGCCAGTGCCCCACTCCCACCTGGCAGCGGTGGGGCACAGCCAAAGTCAGGGTTGAGGAGAGATGAAGGAAGGAGCAGTATGGGTAGCAGGAGCTGGAGGCTGGATAGGGGGAATGGAGAGCAGCTCTGGAGGCTTAACCTTCCATCAGATGGCCCTTGGTGGGGATGTTGAGTGTGAGGAAGATGGGCTGTTGGGGACAGTTCCAGCCTGGGCATGATGGGAGAAGAAGGGCAGTAGGAATTCTGCAGCTCCTTCACAATCTGGCACCCTCACAGCCACTGACCCCAGAAAGAGGCACCCCTGCCTCTCCGTTGAGCTGGAGGAAAACACAGAGCTGATGCCAAAGAAATTGCGGCAGCACCTTGGCAACCATTTGTGGGCTGGGAGCCTGAGAAGCATTGTTGCTGCTAGGGGAGCCCAACTCCTTCTACTGGGCAGCTGGGGACGCTGGGGCCTCTGGCGGGAGGGAGGTGCCTTGGGAAGAGGAGGTATTGGGGATCTGTTCCCCTTAGGCAGCTTAAAGACGGGGCGCTATTCCTCCAAATGCACTGAACATGGAACAGGAGGAAGGCAGAAGGTAAATGGACAGACTTCAGGGAAACCTTTATGTCCTAAAGGGTCCCCAGGACCAGAGAGGGAGGGAGGTTAGGGAGGGGCCTTCTGTAGGTCTCTGAGATCACATTGGGTGGGGTGAAGGTAGACAGTGGGGTGCTGGGTCCAAGGCAGAGAACTGAACGGCGTGGCGACAGAAGAACTTTATATCAAGCAGGGCTTGTGCGAGGAGGTCATGGCTGGCGGCAGGAGCACCTGTTCTCCTTCCCGGTGGTGGGAATGGATGCTCAGGGCTGACAGAATTAACTAAGCTTGGAGCAATAGCTGCAGGACACTTTTTCCCTAGAGCTGGGTTCCAGACCTGAGGGGAGGGTGTGCAGAGGCGTGGGAAGGGCCAGACAGCCCTCAGGTGCAGGACTGGCTGTGCTGCTGCCTCGGTGGGGTTCAGGTGAGCCCCACAGGCTTTCAGCCAAGGAGGCAGGACAGATCAGCATTAGGACCAGGTTGGAAGGCCTCACCTCTTCCATTTTATGCTTTCCACCCCTTTCCTTCCTAGCCTTTCCATCTTCTCTGGGTCTGAAGAATCTGGGTGGGCTGGAGAAGAGGGTCCTAGGAGAGGGGTGCCTCAGCCAGGCCTAGGTGAGACCTTGGATTGGTGAGGGGAGCCCAGCAGCTTGGGGAACGGGCCAGGCCCCCTTCAACCCTCTCTTCCAGCCACACACAGCCTTGATCTCCAACCTCTGAACTGGTCCCATCCATGTCCCCTGCCAGCCCTCACCCAACCCCTTACTTCCAGTCGTACCCTTGCCCTCTGCCCAGCCCTCACCTGACCTCTCACAGCTAACTGTACCCAGCCCCGGCCCCTCACGCCCTGCCCGACCCTCACCTGGCCCCTCAGCTCCGGCCTGCACCCCGCAGCTGCTGGTCCAGCCGGCAGAGCTGGTGGAGGAAGCCTCGGTTGGGGAAGACCCATCGGTGCTGCCTCACGGCGATCACTGCCTGACGCAGGGACAGCTGCTGGTGCAGCATGAGGTAGGCGAGGACCAGCGTGGCAGAGCGGCTCACCCCTACCACGCAGTGCACCAGGACCCTGGCTGAGAAAGACATCCTGCTGAAAGACCCTTTCCCACCCACCAGCCCGCCCAGGGGCTGAGGTGCGGACCCAAGTTCCTTTCCCTCCTCTGCCCTGGGTATATTCTGTGACCCTGAGTAAATCATTCAGCATGGATGGGCCTCCATTTCCTGCTCTGTCAAATGGGCACACCAGCACCTATTATGCCTACCCTTGGGATGGGGTCCACACTCCCCAACGTGGCTCACAGGACCCTCTGTGAGCTGGCCCCTGCTGACCCTGCAGCCTCACCTCAGGCTGTCCCCCCACCCCCCAACCCTCAGCTCTAGGAACACTGGGTAACTTTCAGTTCCTTGAAGCTGTCATGGTCCCTGGCCTCCAGCCTTACCACATGCTATTTCAACTACCTGTAAAAGTTTTCCCCTTCTCTTGGTCTGATTAACATCTAATTTGTCAGGTTTTGGCTGAGACATGGCTTCCTGACCACTCATGGTATCACTTGAATCACAGAGCAGCTCATCCTTTTTGCATGTGGCCCGGTGAATACAGTTGTAGAGGGAAGTCCCCCCCACCCCACCTCCCTTTGCTCTTCACATTTGCCCACTCATCTGAGTAGCGCTTGTAATACTTCACAGTTTGACTGTCTTTCCACCGGGGGCCCTGCCTTGCCTAAGTGTGGATTCCCAGTATCTAGCTCCGTAGCTGGCACAGAGAAGTTAATAGTTGGTGAATGAATGGTGAAGGAGAATGAATGTCAGAGTGCCTTGGATTGAACAGTGCTATGAGCCATAGTCTTGTCTTTCCCATGACACAGAGAAACTGAAGTCCAGAGAAGACACTGGCTCACCCGGGGTCAGGTGGCAAGGGGCATGGCTCTCACCCAGGATGAACATGAAGCAGCTTCCCCAGGCTCCATTGTTGTACCCCTGGTATTAGATTTTTTCCATTCGGAAGTACTTTGGGGCAGAAGCCAGACATCTAGGTACCAGATAGCAATGTCCCAAGGCTGAGTGATACAGAAAGAACTGTTTTGTTGTTTGGGAGACCTGGCTTCTAGCCCCAGGGCTGCTCCTAGCTCGTGGCATGACCTGTATTCTAGGCCTCAGTTTCCCTATCTGTGAAGCAATGCTGTTGGATAAAGTGCTGGAACACTGAGCAGAGAGTTTTAAAAACCTGATGGCCCTTTAAAAACTAGGGGTGTGAGGACACTGATGTTTAAGGGGAAACTGGACATCCCCCCATGACTGAGCAGGATGCGATATGGGTTCAGACCCCAAGTCTTACCCCCGGGTGTGCTGAGGGCACGGTGGATGAAGTCAGCTGCAGAGGAGAAGTAGGCACTGATGTCGAACTCAGGGAGGTCGTGGGCTGGCACCCCCAGGTAGCTCACAGTGCTGCCGTAGAAGTCAGGGCTGCCCTGACAGTAGAGGCCCCCATGGGCAGCATTCAGCACGTGGGTGATGCCCAGCTTCCAGAGCTCAAAGCGGTTATTTGCCGTGGCCCTGGGGAGGGGAGGAAGGGGAGCAGTGAGGTCCAGGAAGGCTTTGTCTGGACCCCCGCTTCAGAGCGATGAATCTATTAGGGTCCAAAAGGAGCCAGAAGGAACCCATGGGGTCTGTGGCTCACAGCCCCCCCATAGGAGCTTTCTGGTAGGGGAGCTGGTGGTCAAGGGATTTAGCTTTAGCCTCTCTTTGCTCCCTGAGGCAATCCACCCTTGCCTTGGCCAGGACAGGAAGGAAAAGGATTGCTTCGGCCCTGGGACCCAGCTGCACCTCCCTTCTTGCCCCATGCCCTACCATGCATATCTGGCCTCTCCTGGCCACTACCTCATACCTGCTTCTAATCTGCAAATATTTAAAGGTGACACCTCCCCTGATTCACCTTCAGTCAGCCTTCCTCACCCACTCTGTGTCCAGAGGAGGGAGGCTGGAACCGGAAAGGCAAGCTCTCTGTCCAGCTCATCTCATACCCCAAATCACCATTCCCCAGTCCTTCCCCCGCCCCAGACCCTCCAGTTGTTCTGGATGTGCCAGAAGACTCCGGGAACCTCTGGGAGCTCCCTTCTTTCAGGCAGGCAAAGTCTCTGCTCCCCCTGGTGGCTGCACCTGCTCACTGCACTGTCCCCAGTACAGAGGGGTCCTGGAGAAAGTCCCTAGCCTGGGAAGCTCAGAGAAGAACTATTGCCCTTATACCCACCCCACCCTCATCTCTGGTGAAGATCCCAGGAACTGTCTCTCCTTGTCTCCACCCCCTTATCCCTTCAGTCAGCTACCACTCACGCATCTCCTATGTAAAGGTTGGGCCAAACTTCGTCCACGCGGCTGGAAGAAAACTTCCCTGCCCTCAGGAGCTCCTCTAGTTCCAGGACAGTGGGGCCAGGCGTGACTTCGGCATCTCCGCTCAGCTGTGGGAGCGAGGCCTCCGCCATGGGCCGGCCCACCTGCCCCTCTGTCTCTGCGGTCACTCCTCTCTGCCTCTCCAGTGTCATTCCTTTCCTAAAGATTGGCAGGGACAGGTGAGACAGCAGCAAGTGACTCAGCAAGTCACAGGGGCCTCTAGAGAGAACAGGACATTTTCCTCCCCAGGCCACCCCCTAACCCCAAATTCCATGACAACATGGAATCAGACATACCTCTGCAAGTCACCTCTAGCCTCAGTTTCTTCACCTCTGATGTAAGAATTGTGAGGATTAAATGAAACAAAGGATATTCTGCACCTAACACATAATAGATGTTTAATAGATTTAGACTCCTGTGTAAGGCTATTTGGTTCTGAGGACTGAGTTAAAGTAGAGATCTGGGGTGCAGAGGAGGTGATTGCCTCCAAGGATTCGTGATAGGAAAAGTTCTTCAGGCCTGGGTCACAAACTAAGTGGGAGCTATATGGCTATTGGATGAGCTTCTGGATTATGGGGCTCAGGGGAGGGTTCCTGAGTTATAGAGTCGGAGAAAAGTGGCAAGGAGGCATGGAGGACCTCATCTAAAGGGTGCCCACAGGGTTTATGGGGGAAGGTTTGAACAGTGGTTCTGTTATGAAACTGGATGATTTCTCAAAAGAGAAGGCTAAAATGGGCTGCATATGTCAAAGGGGGGGAGAAGGGAGATGAAAGTTCCCCTAGACTTTCTGAAGAACCAAAGGGCTATCATCAGAAATATTTTGGGGAGGGGGAGGGAGAGTCCTCTGCCTATAAGGGCTTTTGTCTTCACGACAGAAACAGAGAAAAGTCTGTATCTGTCCTTCTGCCAGAGCTAGTTATGGGATGAAGAAGTGATATGTCTTGCCGGCTCTCAGATGACTTCATGAAGGCTTGATCCGGGGCATGAGCTGCAGTGGGGAGGCTCCCAGCAGCCTCTGGCTTTGAGTCTGCCTCGAGGGTAAAGGCCACACCAGGGCATTCCATGGTAGCAGTTTGCACTCATGTCCACCCCAGAGCCTGTCCCCACCCCCATCAGAGCCACTGAAGTCTGCCTTGCACCACCTGGGAAACCAAGGCCAAGAAGGGGCTGGAGCCCAGGTCGCAGGTGGTTTTGGACTTGGTTTACGCCAATGCTAGGCCTGGGCTGGGGGCTTCCCTCAGGGTGGGGCAGTATAGTAAGGTGAGAAGAGCATAGGTTCTGAAGTCAGGCAGATTTGAGTAGGAATGCTGGCTTTGGCACATATTAACTGCCCAACCTCAGGCAAGTTTCTTGGCCCTTCTGTGTTGTAATACTCTGTAGAGGTGGCACAAGGATTAAGTGAGATATTTATATGGCATTTGGCATAGGGACTCTCAGAGAATAAAGGGGCAATAAATGGTAACAATGATTGGAGGTTGGCTATTGGAGAGGAGCTGGCTCCCTCCGAAGGAATTAGGATAACCTCCTCTGGCCACCAAACACTATTTGCTACTCCCATAGGCCCCGCCCCATCTCTGCTAGCCCCTTATCTTCTCACACTTCGGCTTTGGGCCTGACGCATGCGCTCTCGGGTTTCCTTGCTGCGGTTTCTAGCCTCCATTCTCCCCTCGCGCCCATCTTGAGTCCCGCGTCCCTTCCGGTTTTGGCCCCGCCCCCGCCCTAGGGCTCCGCCTCCCGCCGGTAGGGCCCCGCCTCCCGAAGCAGTTCCGGTTCGGATTCGAGCGGCTGCCGGCGCGGTTGAGACGAGGGCCGGCCGGGGCAATGCCTGCGCGCAGCCGCCACCGCCCCAGGGTCCACTTCGGCTCTCCTACCCGGGCTCCACCGCCGCTTCTTGAGGCGTCTCACTACGGCGAGGCTCGGAGGGCGCCAGGTTCCGACAGCTGCTCAGACGCCGACTCGGAGGTGGGTCTGGGGAGCCCGACTCGGACCGCTGAGGTGAGCAGGAGCTGAGGCGGGGAAGAGGGGCTTTGGGAGAAGCCTGCAGCCAAGGGTGAGTGGAGAGTCGGGGATGGAGCCGGGGGCTGCCACGGACAGGGGTTCGGAGGGGCCCCGGGAGACCGTTGAGGGAGCGTGGAGAGTCCCCTTTAGCATGGAATCTGAGGGAAATGGAGGTTGTTGAGCCGAGGGCCTGAGGGGCGTGACGATGGCCCGAGACAGAGGGGTAAGGAGAGGTCGAGGGGAGAGCGAGAGGGAGTGGGAGGCTGAGGGAGATGTGGCCTCGAAGAGGCAGGGGCTTGAAGGTTTTGGAAAGCCGGGTAGTGAGGCAAAAAGACCGAAGGGGTACTGCGGGAATATGGGACCGGGGGAAGAGATGCTCTGAGATTTGGCACTGGGGGCACGGAATCAGAGGAGCCGGACCAGGGTCGATGTTACCACCTGGCCAGAGAGAGGGAACCGGGGTGGGACTGACAAGATCGCTGACCAGAGTGGGTGGTGGTAATTAGGGGAAGGATTTAGGCTTGAAGAGGAAAGGGCTATCGGGTGGCAAGTCGTCTGGCTTTAAAGGCCAGAAAAAGAGAAATGGGGTCAAGAAAGAAAAGGAGCCCTTGGAGGCTCTAATTTAGGGCTTTGGCATTTTCACAGGTGTCTTTCAAAGCATGGACGATCACTAGGGTAATATATTTGGGTCATGGGGCTTTCTCATTTGTGGACAGTGAATACTTTTAAGAATCTGGGGTGGGAGGGTTGATGTTAAACACTGATTTGCCCAAAGGACTAGGGGAAGTAGTGAAAAGGAAGTGATGTTTGGAAAAGATAGTGAAAGGAGTGATTCTGTAAATAAAGATAATCATTTGGCTTTCTTCTAACAGTAATAATGTGTTTCTTTTTTTTTCTTTGTACTTTTCTTACATTTAAGTTTATCTTAAGTACCAGACAAGTTTAGACTATCTTTTTTCACAAAAAAAGATTTAATACATTACCTTTAAATTAAAAAAACTAAACTGGAAACAAGAATTTGGACACTTAGATTTTACAGATACTCAGTATCAACTGATTTCACTTTGGTAGCTTGAGTTGACACGTATTGGCCATAGGGTAAAGACGTGGTCAATACAAGTGTCTGGGTTAAAAAGGTACATAAAACTGTATGTGAAATCACCACAGTCCAGGAGGCTACCAGATGTTCCTCTCACCTGTAACTCCAGAATTGGAGTTGTGTCTTGAAAATTGGAAGGAGGGTACCTTGACAGATTTGCAGGACCAACGCTTTGCAGATATTGTATGAATAATACTTTTAGTAGAGTTATCTAGAAGACTAAGAATAGAGGATGCTTGTAGTTGTCAGTTAACAGAACTGGGATAGGTGGGTACACAGATGCCTTTTATAGAAGACATCGTACCAAAACCATAGTTATGCCAGAAAAATAATGATTGCAGTATTTATACTCTTTAGTTGAAATAGATTAATTTTCTTTTGTAATTGTTAAATTATAACATCTTTGTGAAATGTTGACTTTAGCCACGTCTCATATGTTGTTTTACTTTTACAACCTTTTATCCTATTATAGGTTTGCAAAGTTGTTGGCATTTCAAAACAAACTTTTAATCAAGTATTTCTAGTCTAAATGGGTATCCAACGGTTAAATCTTCATGAGATGATAATTTACTGATTGCAGTAAGCTGTTAATTTATGTGTATTGACTATATGTCATATCTTCAAATGCTCAGTAGACTAATAATTATTTCTTCAAAGGAGAGATGAATTCTTAACTTTGCTTTTAGCTGATGTTAAAAGATTAACTCCTTTTTCTTTAAATTAGTACAAACATCCTTTAGTTGAAGAAGTATATATAGTATTACTATTGTTAATTTATGTTTGCTTACCCTCACTAGATTGAGATTCTCTAGAGACCTTGTCTTCATACTTAGCTCTAAATAAAAGTCTTGGCATGTAAAAATTTGCTGAACTGAACCGAAATATAAGAACTCTCTATTAAGGTTACATCTTAATGTTACTGCAAAATTAAAGAAACTGTTACATGAATTTGTACAGTTAATACATTAGCGTCCCTAATAGTTTGTCTTTGTTTTGCCTTGACATTTTTCACAGCCACTTAGTTGTAAATAAAATCAGTTTTATGGTAGAGCAGTTTCTCTAAGGCAAGAAAATCTATATTACTCCATTAGAAGCCATTATGACTGCTGTGGCAGAAGATGCAGATATATTTAGATAATCACTTTTGATTTCAGTAGCATCATCGCCATTCTGCAAAGACTCTTTACTTTGCACAACTACTTGTAAACATTTTTATTTTGTTAATCACTAAGATCTTCAGTGCTTTTTCAGAACTTTGCGATAGCTGACTTAGAGACATTTTCATGACTTTTCTGAGAAATGAAATTTGAACATTGTTTTTGGGAAAATGTTGAATCACAGATGTTCTAATGAATATCATCATTATTTTGTCTTATAAGAATAACCATATTAACTAGTTATTCTTTCAAAATTCTTACCTCCAGGCCTGATGTAATACTATGGTGTTAATAGTAGGATGTACCTAGCACAGCCATTAATCATAACAGTGATTCTTACTTTATGTCTTACGATTCTCTTGGCTTTGAGAAATCAGGAGGTTAACTAGAAATTAGAGGAGCATGGGCCAGGTATCCTTTGAGAACAATTCAGTGTTTACATGCTGCCTTTGTCACTGGTAATTTGCCATTTGAATATGTGGATATGGATTTGTGACAGACCTGTACCCCCTCCTCCCATACACATAGCACCATCCTAAGTGGATCTTAACCTAGCTGAGTCTAGACTTCAGGCTTCCATATTTGAAATGTTTTGTTACTTCACTAAATGATGGGCCCTACTAGTAATAAAATCACCTCACTGCAGAATGTAACATAATATGAGTCTATCTTGGCTTTTGTTTAGGATGGTAGAAACTAGGAAAACTTGGTCATAATAGTTTCAGCACGGTGTTTCACTGTTAAACAGAGTTTTATGACATGTACCTTAGAAGACTGTTGTGGAGGCAGAGACCTATGTTTGTATTTGTCTTGAATATTTATTGTGGGCTTAGTGTAGCTTTTGAATTGTGGCTGAGGACAAGAGATTTATTTATCTATTTATTTATTTATTTATTTTATGCTCTGAGATTTGGCAGTGGGGGCGAGGAATTTTTATTTATTTTATTTTTGGCTGCACTGGGTCTTCGTTGCTGCACGCAGGCTTTCTCTAGTTGTGGTGAGTGGGGACTACTCTTTGTTGCGGTGTGAGGGCTTCTCATCGCAGTGGCTGCACTGTCGTGGAGCACGGGCTCTAGGTGCACGGGCTTCAGTAGTTGTGGCACACGGGCTTAGTTGCTCCACGGCATATGGGATCTTCCCGGACCAGGGCTCTAACCCGTGTCCCCTGCATTGGCAGGCAGATTCTTAACCATTGCACCACCAGGGAAGCCCTATATCTATTATCTTGACCCTTTTTTCTGTTCTCTTAAAGTTCTTGACAGGTAAGAAATTCTAGTAGGAGGTGAGAACCATGAATTCTGCTAATTTAGGGTCTTCCTAAAGTTCCTAAGTTAAGCTGTGTCACTGAGTTATTGGAAATGCCTGCAAATTGGCTTTAGTGTGGAACTTTGAGACTAAATTAAATCTATGTCAGTTTCATCAATACAACATTGGTATGAAAGTCAGAGATTGCCAGACCATACATTAAATTTTGGGGCCAAATCCAGTATATTTGCACAATATTGTAATGGAGTTTGAAGTCTTGAGCAAGTTTCTCATTTTCTATTATGTTGATTTGATTTGGGGGTGTAGCATATTTAAAAATGAAGATTTTTACCAGTCAATCTGTCAGACCACTACTAGCCTGCCCATATATTATTTTAATGATTAGAATAAAAATTTGAATTTTATACACTTGGCTTCTTTACTGGTGTGCTCTGACATTTTGCCAGGTTAAGGATTTTTCATCAAACTTACCACTAAATTTTGACCATTGTGTAAAAACTTTTACTACAACTGAGGATATAACCTGCACAGTGTTGTCTGATTCTTATTCATTGAACTGAGACAGTTCTGAATGTGGTAGAGAATTAGGTACAACCAGATAGTGGAAGTCTTAGTTTAAAGGCAAGTTGGAGTCAGAAAAGGTTTGTGTTCTTTGGTATACATGACAGCCTTTTTTAATAACGGTATGTAATAGTGCATGGTCTGTGCAGCAAAAAAAATGTCCCAAGGCTAAAGTGCAGCCAATAGAAAGATAATGTAACTGAAAAAACAATTTAATTTATTTCAAATGTGCTACCCCAAATTCTGCTGCTCAGTGGGACATAGTAAAATGGTAGAAGATCACTGCTAGAGTTTCAAAACTGGTAGGAAGTGGTTCTGGGTCTTTGAAACTTTTGTAATTATAGCAGATTCAGATACTTGGAAACAGTGCTTACTAAGAAAAAGTAAACTACCTTTTGATAACTATAAAGGGAAAATAATAGTTTTTTGTTTGCTCAATGAAAAGATTTTAATTTAGGATTAAAAAATTTTAATGGGATTTTTTTAAAGCTGCATAGGGACTTCCCTGGTGGCACAGTGGTTAAGAATCCACCTGCCAATGCAGGGGACATGGGTTTGAGCCCTGGTCTGGGAAGATCCTACATGCCACGGAGCAACTAAGCCCATGTGCCGCAACTACTGAGCCTGCGCTCTAGAGCCCATGAGCCACAACTACTGAGCCCGAGCGCCACAACTACTGAATCCTGCGTACCTAGAGCCCATGTTCCGCAACAAGAGAAGCCACCACAATGAGACGCCCTCACTCCACAACGAAGGGTAGCCGCCGCTTGCCACAACAGGAGAAAGCCTGTGAGCACAGCAACCAAGATGCATCGCAGCCAAAAAGAAATAATTAATTAGTTAAAAAAAATAACAAGTGTTGGTAAGGATGTGGAAAATTAGAACACTTGTGTGTTGCTCTTGGGAATGTAAAA